TTGTTTGGTTTAGATTGCGTAGCTTTCTTTTTCCATTTAAATAGACTTTTAAATATTCCTTTTTTCACTGTGTTCTTTGATACCTCTGATGGTTCAGATGTTATATTACTGTTATTATTATTATTATTGTTATTATTATTATTATTATTATTATTATTATTATTATTATTCTTAATATTATTGTCTTCATCATCAGAGAAATCCATGAAACTACCTGTGGACGGTGTTGTCGGATTACTTGCAGGTAATCCTAGTTGCTGTTCTGTAGGATGACCATATTGTTGACGATACAACCCGTTATTTTTGTCTTGTTGACCATTTTGCCCTGTTGGTGTTGAATTGTTAGTCTCTCTCAAATTATATGGATCAATATTTTCATCGACTTGCGTTGATGCTTCTTGATTCATATTCGAACTATTTTCTTCCGCAGTTTCATCTATTTCAACTTTTTCTTGGGTTGTCGTCTCTGTCTCATCATCATCTTCTTCTTCATCATCATCCTCATCATCATCCTCGTCATCATAATAATAAGCGTTGTCTTCTGCAATAACAAATTCTGGAGATGTGAAAATAACAACTTTCCTGCCTCCTGGATATTTTTTCTGCTCAGGTGGATTGTCCTCCTCGGTATTATTTAGTGATGAGCTTAACTAATAAAAGAATTATTGTTTATCGATTAATATGAAATATAATATAATTGTCTGTTTAATAAAAAAAAACAACTTACATTAACATTCCTGTGTTTGTTTAATCTCGCTAGTCGTTCAAATGGTGTCTATAAAAAAAATGGAAATAGTTATCATATCGTCGGTTATAATTATCTTACTATTTCGTTAATACGTATTAAAAAAAAATAAAAATAAATGATTGGATTACCTCAATGTTCTCAGCAGGTATATAACCGACTTCTTCGGTTTTCACAACTTTAACCAACCACCAATAACTATTCGAATCATCCAACAAATTTAGTGAATCACCTTTGTCAACAGTAGTTTGTCCTTCGACAGTCGCTTTAAAATTATGTAACGCATAAACTAAGGAAAAATCGATATTTTCATCTATTATAGGGGAGGGTGACAAGTCATCTTCGGAATCACTAAAGTCTTCGGGAGATGGGTTGTTTTGATTGCGAGCGGCAGCTGTATCAATAGATAGATTATGGTTTCTAATCATTGATAAATTGTTTCTTATATTTACAACAAAAGAAAATTTTAAATGTGTAGCGATAAGATATTAATGCTATAAAATTACAAGATGATGCTCATTTTCTCTAAATATATGCTAATAATAATTTGTAAAACGGAAGGTACAAAAGAATTTCTTCAATTTATATATAAAACCTTGAATATAAATCTATATATAAATTTTTGCTTGCCAATTTTTTATTAAATAAAATTTTTTTGATGCACTTATGCTGAACAAAAAATAAGAATGCATTAAAACGCATAATAGAAAATACAGGTAGAAATTTTCAAAACTAAAAAACAGCCGAATTTTAACGATTAAATAATATGCATGTTCACATTGTATGTTTACATTTTGTGAATTGAGTTCTACTAAATTTATGATTGAGTTCTACTAAATTTATGTATAATTATGACGAACAAGTATTATTTGTGAAACAAATTATACTGTCAAATTTGTGCGTATGGTAGTTATCTTTATAGTTTAGAACAAGGAATTATACTCTTTCGGTATTTATAAAGATTTAAGATGTAACGCTAAATACACAAAAACTTCGGCATCCTTATTATGTTAATTTAATATAGCTATCTATTAATACAAAAGTAAATATTAAACATCCCGTTTTAAACTTTCGTAGTTTCGCAAACCATGGTGGTTTTTAAAGGTACGGAACTTATACGCAGCGATGAATGAAACAAAACTATTTACGGCAAGTACCGGCATTCGCTACGTAGGAACATGAGGATTTATTTTTAGAATAAATTTTCCTAGAAAAGATTCTGCATTTTTTACGTATGCATATTAATAAATATATACGTATAATGTTCATTTATAAAGTTCCAAAAACGAATTTTGTTAAGCTATATAGCATTTAATTTAAGATGACAATGTATTATATATTCATTTGTGCTGTTGAAACTTTTAAGGAGGAATAGTTACAAATGTTATTTAATGGCGCAAAAATTCGACATAATGTATCAGTATGTATCCGCACGTACGTACGTACATACATGAATTCCATGCCCCAGGGATTGGATCGACTTTAGAAAACTTATTGACAATAATTCCCAGTGCTTCGCAATTCAGATGTTTCGCGCTAGGTTTCATAATAATGTTGATGTTTTATTAGTAATAGTTTAGGTCATGATTGGTAGCATAATCTAAATCTTTGATTTGCAGTAATTAATTATTTAATTTGCAAAGTAATACGTTGTAAACTAATTAGACCCACATACGAATCACAGAATTTCCCTTAATTAATTAAAAAACTATTATTATAAATCGCACCATTGGTATTGAAACCATATAATTTTTTGTTATGATTTTGTTTTCAATAATTAGATTAGGGTTAAAAATTAAGATAAAATTAGAAGATATAGACTAATACAGTAATTAACGGATCCTATCATTTTCCAAACAACAACTTTCCCGATTAGATTAGGTTAGTGTTAGTTCCGGTCAATTTTTGTCGAGAAAGTATCGTCGGGAAAATGATAGAGACCCAAAAATTACAGTTATCATAACTTCCGGGACAAATTAAAAATTTGTTCGTTACCCGAAATATCCTGCAAATTATCTACTCTCCGGAAACTACATTGCTATCTTCGAACTTTCAGTCCGGAGACAGCGATGTAGTTTCCGGAGAGTTAGGTAATTTACAGGATGAAACCGAAAGATTTCAGGTAACGAGTAAAATTTTAATTTGTCCCAGAATTTATGAGAACAGCTGTAAAGCTAAAAATAAAAGTTGGGGTAATTTTTTTTGGGTTGCTAAACATTTTTACTTAATACATCCGGTCTTGGTTATTTAGACAGTTTTTGAGAAATAGCAACTGTTAAACGCTACTGGTATGATTTAACGATACCGTTTTAAAATGGTTTCGGGTTAACTTCCCGAAGCCCATTTTTCTGAAATACCATTTCACCGATTTACGAACAGGACATAATTGGATTCGTGTCATTTTACCGAAAATCAATTCACCGAGAAGTTTATTTCACCGACAATTATTACTTCACCACAGCTCATTTCACCAAGTTTTTTTTAAAAAATTGCGCTAACCTTAACTCTAATTCTAAATTGACCCCACCGACAATGACCAGAATTACTTTTCTGTGAAATGACTGTCGGTGAAAATAAACTATCAATGAAATAAACTGTCGTGAACTAAATTGTCGAAAGTGGATCGTGTTGAGAAAAAGGGATTTCTGAATTACGGGGTCGGAGAAATATCATTTTGGGAAGGTGTGCTTCAGGAAAGTGAGCAACAGTTTAAAATATACTGCTTATTATAAATGCAAAATGTTTATTCTTCTTTTTGAAATGTCTCGAATATATCGATCGCTATTTTTTCAATGACAATGTGACAATTAACGTTATCCATTTAAATCATAATATAAATATGAATCGTTAGAGTACTGTATACTTATATCACTTAGATTCAACCAGTACTTATACGTAGATACGCAACAAATCTAAACATACTAAGCTATTTTAAAAGATCAGTTATTATGCTTCAGAATTTCCTCAAACTTGTATTCATTCTTAATAATATCAACCAAAGAACGATTTAAGATAGATGACAAATTCTTCTCTTGTGGTCTCAATTGTAAACTTGTTTCCATCCGCACATAAAATTAAATAAAGACGTATAATTTTGATCTCGTTGAATATGGAGAATAATACAAACATATTTAGTAGTATACGGATTTTTTTTCAAAATTCGTTTTGCTCAGCATTCACGGTAATAGCATCGCATTGAAAGATTATCTGATCCCTCCCAAATCTGTTTTATTCTGTTTTGAAGCTGGAATTCCGTCTTAAACATAGACAATTTATCCACCTGACAACCGAAAATATCCTTTAAACACTCAGCAACATTTGTATTGATATCAGAAAATGTATCTCGTTATCCGACAAACTCTTAAGATCATGAATTTATTTCTGTCTGTTATTTTTTTTCATGTGATACGAAATATGTTTACTCGAATTAAATCTCAGCTGACGACTCCCTACCAATCATGATCATAAATTTCTGTTATTCAAAAATTTTTTTGCCGAATAATGTATACTTATTTCCGTGCTTGTGTGCACAAACTGCCAAAGAAAGGCTGTCATGGAATATATTTGTTAGCAAAATTGAAAAAATAAACATTATTCCATAGCGATAGACTAATCTCATCTTAATCCACGTCCGACTTTGTGGCTCTAATAATTCCGTCAGATGCAATATCAATTAAAGCTGCTTTACATCTTTTAACTATTGTTTCTTCGTTATCTCCAGGGAATTTTGCCATAATATTAGTTACTAACCATTTTTCGTGTCCAAATACTTAAAATTTTAACTATTTTTTGATGATTATCTGTAGGAGTGTCATCAATCGTCATCCTTTGTTTGCCGATTTAGATTATCAAAAAGAGTGTCATCAATAGTCAATCGTTGTTTCTATTATAAACTTTGATCCATTTGTCAACTATACTAGGGTGTAAATTTGGATCCTGTTACGACATAATGTCGTAACTAACTTCAGTACCAGCGTTATTACGTAGAGTTCGACAGGGCGGCCCCCCCAAAGTCCGGTTACATGTGGTCGATGATCCACACCCTGCCGGATACATCATGGTAGATGATCGACACCCTGTCGCATCAGCCGCATCATATCCTCCATTTTGGTTACCATCGTATTTTTTTTTTTAAATCGGTCTTCCTCTCAATAGAACTTCCTTTCCTTTTCGTTTGAATCGTTTTCCACTCAATTTAACTTGCTTTTCTTTTTGTTTAAATTGATTTTTCTGCTAATGGAATTTACATTATTGTATAAGGCCAAATCTTTAGCTTCCGTTCTATGTTCATTCCCACTTTATTTTTGAATCGTTATATCTGGATCACATGTTTAATACGACTCTCTCGTAATTAAAATTACAATATTCTCAACCATCTTATTGTAAATGCCGTTTATTAGACGTCAGGTTTTTATTTTTTTTTTTGTATTTTCTTTTTTTCTTTAAAAAAAAACAGAACAAATTTATTAGTAAATGATGATTAATATAATTGCGTTAAAGAATTTCGGTATGATCGTATTGAATGAATTCTATTCGATATTAAAAGATTTGAAAGGTTGGCATAGTTTTTTTGCAACCCGGCTTTTATAAGCTTTTGAGAAAACTTTTAAGATAAAGAAATAATCGATTATTATTTTATAAA